AAGAATGGAAACTGCAAACCTACTCCAGGTGGCTCCCCAACCCCACCCCACCCCATAAAGTGCACCCTACAAGCGCTGCCTCCCAACAGGTGACCCTACTCCTGAGTCCCCAATCTCCTGAGGGGTGCACGCAAGGAGGGGGCGCCCGCCCTGGAGAGGGGGTGGCACTCCAGCAGGCTCTGTCCAAAGAAAAGTTCTCTCCATTCCAGCCATTCTTTCAGGGGCTGCACTGCATACAGGCTGGGGGGAGGGAGCCCGGTTAATGACTTCACAACCACTTTCTAGGCATTTCCTCCCCAAATTCTGAAAGTGGGGGGTGGGGGGTACCTCCTGATGCTTTGTAAGAGAAGTTTCCTCTTGGGGCCTGGCCAGAGCTGAGACAAACAGTGTCCTAGGTTAACATCCTATGCGGCGAATGAGGGCGCAGTGTCAGGACGCCCCTGGCTTAGAAGGGAGGAGGAGGAAGAAACAGGCTGTGGTTCCTAAAGAAGTGTCCGCCATGGATGGGGACAGGGGAACAGGCCAGAGGCAGAGCCCTGGGTTCAGTGGTTGGGGAGGGGAGACCCCGGACGTTCCACCAGGGCCTGTGTTGGGTGCACTGGGACCCACGGCCTGCAACACCAGCGTGGCCTGTGGGCTCGGGGGGCTCAGAGAGCCAGGGTCACAGCCCTGGCTGGGCTGCCTTCCACCTCCCGTGAGGACCCTGAGCTCTCAGAGGACAGGGGTTCTGGGGTGGGGTGCTGGGCAGGGCAAGGTTGCCAGGCCCCACCCTGAGCCATTTTCCTTCCTGCTCTGGTGGGCAGTGTCCCTGCCTTGGGAGGGGAGGGGCGCCCCACCCTGTTGGTCCTGGAGGCCAAGGGTTTCACATCTGCCCGTCCCAGGCTATTGGGAGCTCAGGCATGGAAATAGGAACTGTGAGTAATCAACTTGCTGGACGACAGATTTGAAAACTAATCAAGCATTTCACACCCATTGGACTAAGAGAAAATTACAAAGTCCAATGCTACCAAGTGTGGCCAGGATGAGGGACAACGGGGACTTTCATCTGCTGCTGGCGGGAGTTGGGAAGGTCCAGGGTTAGCCTGAAGCTTATACAATTTGGGGACTTTCTTTATAAAAGAATAAAAGATGAGTCTGAGTCTTGGAAGGGGCCTGAGCAAGTGGGGGTCCAGAGCCTAATTAAGCTTCATAAGCTTCCCAGTGACTCCGCTCCCGGGCTGTGTAAATTGGAATAACCCTTTTGGACAGCAATGTGGTAACTCTGGGAAGATGAAGATGTGCGTTCCCTATGACCCAGCGAGACCAATCTTCTGTATGTCCCCCAGGAAACTCCCAACGTGTAACCACAGGGGCAAATACAAGAATGTGCTTTGGCAATGCCGTCTGCAACAGCAAAAAGCCACAAATTGGAAATAGACAAAATGTCCATCATCAGAAGAATGGACAAACAGCATCACTGTGTATAAACCTCAACTCTGTTGCGTGGAAAGCTCGCTGCAGAAGGACGTGACAGGACAACACTATTTCTATGAAGTGTGAAAACACAGCAAACAGCACCCCGTGGAGCTCACAGGCAGGCAGGGCGCAGGGAAGGGCTGACCCTCCTGGGCATCAGGACCACCACGTCCAACCCTGGGCTCCTGAGGATGGAGGGAGGGGAGTCAGACAGCGGCACATCCAGGGGCTTAGAAGCCTCCTGAAAAGCTTATTTCCCTCATACTAAAAGCCAATAAGGCAAAATATTAAGATTTGACAAAGCTGAGTGATAATGATGTCGGTACCCATTATAGTATTATATATGCTTTTCTGTAATACTTGAATTTTTTTTTTGTTTTCTTAAAACTTGAAGGGAAGTTCGCATAATATCAAACTAACCATTTTAAATTGCCCAGTTCAATGGCATTAAACATTCACGATGTTGTGCAGCTACCACTTCGATCTAATTCCAAAAATTTTCATTACCCAAAAGGAAACCCCGCACCCATTACGCAGTTGCTCCCCATTCCCGTCCTCCCAGCCCCTGGCAAACCACCAGTTTGTGTTCTGTCTCTATGGATTTGCCTATTCTGAATATTTCATGTGAATGGAATCACACAATATGTGACCCTCGTGTCTGGCTCTGTTTACTCAGCACAGTGTTTCCAACTGTGTGGAATGTCTCAGTGCTTCCTCCCTTTCTAGGGCTGCATAATATTCCACTGTGTGAGTATGTCACAGTTTGTCCATTCATCCTTTCAGGGGATATTTCTGCTCTTTCCACCTGCTGGTTATTGTGAATAGAGCTGCTATGAACACACGTGTACACGTACCTATTCAGGTCCCTGCTTCAATCCTTTTGGTTATAAACCTAGACGTTGAATTGCTGGGTCATATGGTCCCTTTTTTGAGGAGCCACCAAACTGATCTCAACAGCAGATGAACCATTTCACATTCCCACCAGCAATGTATGAGGGCTCCAATTGTTCCACATCCTGGTCCGAACTTACTGTTTTCCAGTTTTTTGATAATAGTCACCCTAAGGTCATGTGAAATGATACCTCAGTGTGGTTTTCATTTCATTTCCCTAACGACCGATGATATTGAACATCTTTTCATGTGCTTATTGGCCATTCATATATCCTCTTTGGAGAAATGTCTATTCAAGTCCTTTGCCCATTTTCTAACTGGCTTGTTTACCTTTTTGTTGTGGTGGTGTAATGGTCCATAACTTAAAAAAACTCTCCCAGGGTGACCAGTGCTTCCTTGGGCCCTTTCATTCTCTGCTCTTTCTCACAATAAGGCACATTCATCTTCATATGTACAAAATGTGCAGAGTAAAATTAATGGACTTGTGTCTGCTTTCTTTCCTGTTCTCCCTGCTCCCTGGGACCCACTCCCAATCTAGAGAGGAAGAAAGAGATTGGAGGTGACAGTTGAGGTGTCCAGAGCCTCTCAGGAACTCAGAGGAGGAGCAGGGGCTGAAGTGGAGGAGTAAAACCAACTTCTGAGACAGCTGAGAGGGAAGTGCTCTGGGCAAGGGGAATGCTTTATTTTTAATTATAATAATTAAAGAATTATTTACTATTATCTAGAAGCTGCTACTATCGCAGGCCACAAAGCCGCCCTGGAGGAGAAAGTCTCCACTAATCCAGGGCTCTGAGATTTCCCACCCCCTGCTCTCTCCTTTCACTTGGTGGGATGGGGGGACCCTCCTGTCCCCTCCCCCACAGACCACCTGCCTGACTGGGCTGTCCCTCTCCCAGGACCACTCCTTCCTCTGGCTGGGACACCAAGAGGAGGCAGTGGGCACTGGGAGGCCCTCCTTTCTGTGAACCCAGGTCCCCCACACCTGCTGCCACCTGAGCCAGCTCTTGTGAAGGTAAGAGAAGGAGGTGCCCCAGAGTCTTCTGCATGAAGCCCAGCTAACACCTTCTCATGATTCTTGTCACAGTGCTCCCCAAACAGCTGCAAAGGCAGAGGAGGCCCCTCATTAGGCCAATGGAAGAGACACTAGGAGGACCTTTTGCTGCTTAAAATCTCTCTGCCCCTCACACCTCACCATCAGCCACCATCTCTTTGGTCATGAATCTGCCTTTGTAAACACAGTGGCCTCTGAAGGAACCACCACCACTCATCCCGGGTCCTGGGTGCTGTGCGCTCATCTTCAGACGTCCAGCCTCGGGCAAGCACAGACCAAGCGGTGAATAGATGCACCCAGAGGAGCCACTTGGGGAAAGGATGTGCCAGTGGGTGCAAGCCCCTCCCCACTCTGGGGCTGGGTGTCCCTATCTATAAATGGTGGGGCTGGGCGCAGTGGTGTCCAGGGTTTCTTCTAGATGTCACTTCCTTGACCCTGGCTGGCCCCAGGACTTCATGTTACTCTGGATACACACAGGTGTGAGCTCAACTCAACCCTCACAAAAGCAGTGATATGGGGCCACCAAGCAACCTTGGTCCCTTTCACCCTTTCCCCAAACCCTCCATAGATGACAGAACCTGCTCCCTGTGCTGGTCACACCTTACCACCTCCAATCAGGCAAGAAGCAGCTGGGTCCCATTTTTAAATAGTCAGGTTTGGACAAACTCTTTTCCAACCAACTCTTCCGCAGCGGGGGTGCTGGGAACGGAGTCTCCATGGCTGCATAGCTGGGCGCCCACAGAACACACACAGCAGCCCCTCCCAGGTAAGGGCTGGTGGCCCCTGGGGAGTGTAGGCTGTGGGAGGTCTGCAGCCTAAGGACACAGTGAGCACTTTACCAGGAGCCAGGGTAGGAAGTGCTTTCCTGCAGCCACCAGTGGAGCAGTGCAGCTCCAGCCTCAGGAGGGACCAACCACAGGTACAGGGGCCCTTAGGACTGCTCAGGGTCAGCCAAGGCAGGGGACCTCTCTCAGCAGCCCCTCCTCTCCCCCTACTCCACACACAGGGCAGAATGACTGTGGTAGAGCAAACCAAGGCCTGTTTTATTATTTCCAGATTAAAGTTGTCACAAAAACATTCTTTCGTGGGAAACGTTCAAAGACCAGAAGAGAATAATCCGGATTCAGCTCCTCCTACGACACCAACCCAATCCCCAAACCTCAGTTGGTGATGCTCAGGCTTCTTGTGCTGATTTTTGTAAACGAAATCCTAACCCTGGACAAAGCTGGGCACCTCTACAGGGACGTCGCTCTCCCATAGCGGCTTCCTCTGCGCCCATGGGAAGAGGGTCGGGGCACAGCTTTGGAACGAGCGCGCAAAACAGATGGACGGACCCTGGCCCACTTCCAACATCTAACCCATTTTGCGAATTTGGTTTTCCCACTGAATTCCTGGAGACCGTTTCCCTCATTGTCATTGGTCTAGAAGGGGCCAAACGACTGGGGTGAGGGAGACTTTTCTCACCCTGGCCCCGCATCCCGATCCTCCCGGACCCTGCAACTTGTGGATCTGATCCAGATGGCTGTGCGGAGTCCCAGCGATAGCGCGCGGCACAGCCCATCCCGCCCCCGCGCCGGCTTGGGCGCGCCAGCCACTCACTCACAATCTCAGGGATGAAGAGCACGTCGGGGCAGGTGAGGAAAACCTCGCTACCTCTGGGTAAGTCCCATCTCGGCATGCTGGCGTGGCCTCGGGAAAGGACGCGGGACTCCGGCTCCCCTCTGACCGCTTTTGCTCAGCGGAGCCCAGTGGCCCTGGCGCCCCCGCAGGCGTGTGAAGAGCAGAGGCTCCCGGGACCCAGGAGGGAGGAGCCCGGGCCACCGCCCGCCCCGCCCCGCCCCAGCCAGCCCTGCACTCCCCAAGGGACCCGCCAGAGTGCCTTGGGCGCCGCCCTGAACCACCCGAGGGCGCACAGCGGGCTTGCCGAGCTGGGGCGGGGGGCCCGACTCCTGCGTCCCACCTCCGGGCGCCATCTCCCGTGGGGGGCAGGAAAAGCCACTTTGACGAAGGGCTTCGGACGCTTTGCCCTCTTCGCGGGGCATCACCATCCCTTAAGAATGAGGACCATCACTAACTAGGCTCCAAACTCCCCACTCCGGCACCGCTCGGGTCCCCATTGCTGTAACTGTTCTTAAGCTTTGGTCGCCTTCATCTTTCGCTGGGTGCGTTAATATGAGCGACCTCCGCGCCCGGGCTCGCGGTGGGACGAGGTCCTAGTCCTGTCCGCAGCTTCAGGATGGGGGTCTGCAGGGGCGTTGTCGAGACCAGCTCTGGCCACCACCCCTTCACCTTCAGAGCCCGCGCCTGGAACCCTGTACCCGCGGTCCGCTCCACTCGGTGCTGGAGCTTCAGTCTTCCCGTCTGAGGGGAGGAGGCCGCTCTCAGCCCTGCCAGCCCCGGAGGAGGGCGGTGGAGGCGGCGCTGGGGCGGATCTGCATTGAATCCAAGGAACAGGAGGGGGCTCCTGGAGTAGATCCCTGCCCTTCTCTCAGAGGGGGCGGCCCTGCGCCTCTGCGGTGGGAGGACTCCCCCTCCCCACGTCCTTCTACTACCCTCTGCTGCTGGTTTTGGGGTTTTTGTTTTCTGGACCACAATTTCTTTATCGTTTTTTGACTGTATTTTCTGAAATTATCACACTCCAGGAGTTCGCCTTTTTATATTAATGTAGATACTAGTACTGCATTTTCTCCTACAGTGCTACAGCTAAAATCTGTCGGAAGTCCAGGGCAGGCCCAACTCAGACTCCCCAGGGCTTCTGTGGCTGCACCCACAGCCCCAGCAGGCACAGCCCCCTCTCCCCAGTGGGACCCTCATCCTTTCCCTCTGCACAGCTCTGTTTCCTTCCCAGTCCTGTGGAGATAAGTCAACTCCTGGACGCATTATCAAAACAACAAGGACAAAACCCATGTCCATGAGCTGTCCATTCTGCCCACTTACATGGAGGGACTAAACATTTGAAATGAGAACATCCCACTGCACCTCTGTGAGCCTCCTTGGGGCTGCAGGTCTTGGTGGCCTGAGACCCAGGGTGTCCATCTCCTTCCTCCTGAAAGATTCTAGTTGGACAAGCCACAACTGGCAGGAGGTGAGATAACCCTCAAGCAAATCCATCCAAAGCTGTTTGGCAATTTTTCTGTCAGTACTCACTAATGAAACACACAAAGGTCTTGGGTCGGCCCCATGGCCTAGTGGTTAAGTTCAGTGCAATCAGCTACTGTGGCCTGGGTTCAGTTCCCAGGCGCTGACTTACACCACTCACAATGTGGCAGCAACTCACATACACAATAAGGGAAGATTGGCACAGATGTTAGGCCAGGATGGATCTTCTTCAGAAACACACACACACATGCACACACACACAAAGATCTTCTCAACTCTTAATAATCTCTTCTCTTGGCCTTGAAGTTTTCTGAGTGTTTGTTTTTTGGTTGGGTTTTCTGCTGGCTGTTTCACACCTTTGATGCTAAATTCCTCAGGCTTGGGCCTGTGACTTTGGGGAGAAGGCACAGCTCCCTGGTGCAGCCCAGTGAGGCTGATGGGCTCCAGCCTCCTTTGATGAGGCCCAAGAGCCACAAAGCATTTAGGAAGGGCCCTTTCTCTGTGACCCTCAACTCACCTGCCATCTTTGCTTGATGGTCCTCTTCCTGACCACACTCTACCCTCTGCAGGGCAGCCCCCACCCCATCCCCATCCGCCTGTCTCCTTCCTGCCATATCACATCCTCAGTGCCCACCAAGACGCCAGCCCATGCACGGTGCTCAGTAAGTACCTGCCCTCTGCGGGGATGGACCCAGCCTTGTTGGTGCTTGACCACCCGAGGAGGAAGCACAATGACTCTGTTCGAACGTAGAGTACGGTCAGTAGAGACGGTCTGTCTGCATGTCACAGAGCTGCCCCAGGGTGCTCTGGGCCACAAGCTGATGATGTAGGGGGTTCATGTCCATAAGAAGTCAGGACCACACTTTGGTTTGCAGCAGGACATGAGAAAACAACTTCAGCCCATAATGACTCACTGCAGGGTCCTCGGTCCTCCTAGCAGCATAGTGGGTGTGAATGTGGACTCAGTCTGGGGAGGATCTGGGGCTTCTGTCAAAACAAAACATGGCCTAGGGTGGGTTTCTACAAAGTAGGACCTAGAAAGTGATGATTGCTGTGCCAGCCCAAGGGTGGAAGAGGTCACCTCCAGCTGGTGTGTGTCGGGGGAGGGAGTTGGGGGTGGGAGAAGGGACTAGGGGATAGAGATGTGATGAAGGAAAGATTCATGGGGCAGAACTTGCCAGGAAATCATAGCAGGTGGGATTTACTTTTGGGGTCTGTGGAATGACCTCCATTTTACTGATGAGGTGATGGAGGCTCAGAAAGGTTAAGTAGCTGCCCAAGGCCACACAGCTGGTGAGTGGTGGAGCTCAGCCTTGAACCTGAGTGACGCTGTGTCTCCAGAGCTGCAAGCCCCTGATCAAGAACGTACTTAATGGATGGATGGATGGAGGAAGAAGTCGTGGTGTATACAGACAATGGAATATGATTCAGCCATAGAAAACGAGGAAATCCTACCATGTGTGACAACATGGATGGACCCTGAAGGCATTATGCTGAGTGAAATCAGTCAGGCAGAGAAAGACAAATACTATATGATCTCATTTATATGTGGAACCTAAAGAAACAAAAAGCAACAACAAAAATCCCACCAAACTCACAGAAAAAGAGATCAGACTTGTGGTTACCAGAGATGGGGTCTGGGGGAATGGGAGATTGGAATAAGGTGCTCAAAAGGTACAAACTTCCAGTTATAAGATAAAGAAGTACTAGGGACGTAATGTCCAGCATGGTGAGTGCAGAGAACACAGCTGTGTGAGAAACAGGAAAGACATCACCATGCTGACCACCTGAAACTCACATTGTAATGTCTGTCAGTTATTCCTCAATAAAATCAGACAAAATTTCAAACAATACAGAAATTTAAAAAAGGAACCATGCTGAAGATGGACAATTGCCAGTCAAATGCCGTGTTCCATGCAGACCATCAGCAGCCACCCAAAGCCAGGCTTCGTGGTCAGCTCAAACGTGGCGCTGGGCACTGGCTCCCTGAGGCATCTCTGCCTGCCTGACAGGGCTCTGGACCTTTCCTCCCTGACTGGGAACACAAGGTTGGAGGTCATCACCCTCATTATGGACGGGGAAGCTGGATAATGTAGTTCAGAGAGCTACCCTGGGCCAGCACTGACCCCAAGGGACTGTGTCTAACAGTCACATGCTGCCCCGGATTCCCACTCCTGGCAGAAGCAACAAGGGCACCTGCTGGGCTGATGGACTAATGGAGTCCCAGCTGCCTTGACCCCAGGAGGGCAGAGGGGAGACAGCACTGCTGAGGACCTACTAAGTGCCCGGCCCCACCGTAGGCACTTGGCCCACATGACCTCATTAATCTCATGGAGTCTTTCTGGTAGCTGTCACCCCACCCTGCAGGCTCAGATGGGGAGGGAACATGCTCAGGCCACAGGGAGGACACCCGGATGTCTTGACTCCAGAAGGTAGACTGTCCCCACTGCCTGTGTGCCTACTGCATACAATCCACACACTTGAAACCAGAGGTAGTGAGTGGTTGCTCACCAGAAAGCTGTGCTCTGATGGGCTAATGGGGCATCCGTGCCCTGTGGCCTCCAGTGACAATGAGCCACCACATGTGATCTTTTTCACTTGTTCCCAACCTCTTCCAGGTTCGTGTCTCCTAGTTCCAGGGAGATTGGCACTGTCCCACCGCCTGAGAAAGTCATCACCAAGCTCCAGATTCCAAGCACGCAGCAGGGGCTGGTGTTGTCTGGGTGTCTCAGGGACAGGAACAGAGGGTGGAGGGTCTGTGAGAAGGGAGGGCAGAGTCCCTGTTCCCTAGGAAAGTTCCATCCCAAAGGGACAGCACATTCAGAGTCAATAGACCCCTGGGCTGGGCCTGCACTGGGCGCTTTCCCCATTTTTACAGGCCAGATGTTAAGAGGAGGCACACAGACCAGTCATTCTACAATCAGGCTAGGGTGGGGACAGGCCCCCATTTCTGAGCACGTCTTGGGTGCACTGAAGATGCAGCAGTAATGGAGGCCCTGCCCTCAGTGCCCCGTTAGCACCAGGTCAGTGAGTGCCAGGCAGTGGGAGCAGGGCAAACGTGCTCCCTGCCTTTGTGAAGCTTCTCATGGGGGCAGGAGATAGGCACCAGTCCCACACCTGCATCATAAATGTGTAACGAGGTTGCTGCTGGAAGGGAGCTGCAAGAGCATCCACCAGCACAGCCTGGTTTGGCCTGGGGGAGTGGGGAGCATTTGGGAGGAAGGGACCCTTGAATGAGTGAGCAGTGGTTAACTGGGGGGAGGAGGAGAGAACGTCCCTACAGAGGAACAGCCTGCGCCAGGCCCCAGGCCATCTCCTGGAGGAGTATCAGGCAGTGTCCCCACACTGTAGGGCTGTGAGAATAAATAAGGAAATCCAACATAAGAGTCAGGGGCACTCGGGGAGGGGCAGGAGGTAGAGCGTGGACAGCCACGGGCGTCCAGGGCAGGAGGAAACAGGCACAGGCAGCGAGTTCTGGAAGAAGAGACAGGACTGATGCCCACAGGGCAGTGTGAGGAGGGCCTGTGCAGAGAAGAGGGAGGAGGGATGTGCCAGGCCAGGGAGCAGCATGCGTGAGTCCCAGAGCCCAGAGAGCCTTTGATCTCTGTGGGCAGCAGGGTGGCTCCTGGGGCAGAGCTGGAAAGGCCAAGGGCAGGCTGGACACAGGAGAAAAGAGGCAAAATTCC